GATACAACCCTGATGTACATCCTTTTTTATTTTAAACCATATAGTATCCCCTTTTTCTGTTCAAATGACAGCCTCCTGGTCTGAGTACAGATTCCCCATAAGCACAATGAGGTGTTCTGGAATTCCCATTCATTTCAATGTTACCCATAACTTGTTATGATCCACACAAGCAAATGTTTTTGCATAGTCAATAAAACACAAGTAAACATCTTTTCAATATTCTTTGCTTTCAGCCAAGATCCATCCAACATAAGCAAAAATATCCCTTATTCCGTGTCTTCTTTTGAATCCATCCTTATTTCTGGAAGTCCTTATCAATATAGTGCTGCAACTGCTTTGGGTTATCTTCATCAAATTTTACTTGTGTGTGACACCAGTGATAATGTTTGACAATTTTCACATTCTGGTGGATCAACTTCCTTTGAAATGGGTACAAATATGTAACTCTTCTAGTCAATTGTCAGGTAGCTGTCTTCCAAATTTCTTGGCATAAATGTGTAAGTGCCTCCAGCATAGTATGTTTGTTGAAACATCTCAGTGAGTATTCTGCCAAGTCCTAGGGTCTTATTTTTCACCAGTTCCTTCAGTTCAGTTTTAACTTCTTCCTTCAATACCATTGCTTCTTGATCACCTCCTTACATATGTGAACGTCGATGTACAATTCTTTTTTGTGCAATGACTCTGTATTCCTTCAATCTTCTTTTGATGCTTCTTGCATCATTCAATATTTTTCCAAAAATATCTTTGAATATTGCAACTGGAGGCTTGATTTTTTTCTAGAGCTCCTTTAGCCTGAGAAATGCTGAGTGTGGTCTTCTGTTTTGATTTTCTATCTACAGATCTTTGCACATTCATTTTAAGAATTGACTTTGTCTTTTCAAGCTTCCCTTTGAAATCTGCTGTTCAGCACTTCTATCTTGTCATTTGCTTCTATGAAAAATATTTCTTAGATGATATTAAAATTAGCAGCAAAATTGCTTTATAGAATTTTCTGCATTGAATTATAAAATTATTAGTTTCAAAATTACTTATAGCTGAGTGGAAGGTTTTTTTTTTTTTTTTCATTTTCATTTTTCCTTCCTTTCATTAATTACTATTTCATTTCAAAAAGTGTTGATATAGGTTCACCAATACTAAATACCTCAATATTGTAGCTAAAGCACCAGTAAATCTGACAAAATCAACAAATATAAAAACACCAGCAATAACAAAAACAATGGCATATACTTTTGTGTGCAGATGAAAACACATAATTTGAGGTGCCATTGTAGTTGGTTAACAATGACCACTGACTGGAGTCCATGAGAAGATTCAAAAAACAAATTAGCATAGAGTTTTAACCTTGTAGGTACATTGATGCTTGTAAGTTGGGCTTACAAAACATGTTTCTGTTGTCACAGTTAACTACAGGAAAATTTTTATGAGCAGTAATAAATTTTTGCTGAAATACCACAAAACATTTTTAAAGACAGTTGTCTTAGTGTCGTCCCTTCAGACACTGTCACCTGGTGGGTTTACACTCCCTGAATCACCCTCATTACATCAATAGCTTGTGGTGGTTTCCTTTCCCCCTTTAGTCCTCCCTGAAATCAGTCCTGCCCATCACTGCTGAAGCTCCATTATCAGATGTAAAGTTTGCAATTCATTTTGTAGTTTTTACTGTTATCAGATTGGGCTAAATTCTACAAACTTTAGTTCAGAATGTGTGCCTTTAACATGTCAGCAAGCAAATGTTTTTCCAATTCTAATAATGGGCAACCCCTTTAAGGGAAAATCAGTTTTTTTTTTTGAAATTCAGCATTGATACATATTATGATTTAATATATGTCTAATGTAATAAGTATTAAAACTGAACTTTTTGCTAGACACAAAAAGTGTGAAATTACAGTGTGCTCCAAATCAGCCCATACCTTATTCCATAGCAAAGACAGTGATAAAGATAAGAACACCCACAAGATAAAGGATATGAAACATGGGCAGAGTGTAAATTAAAAGAGTGCTTTGTGAAAGCTGGCTTGGTGGGTTCCATGTAAGGAGAACCCATTCCTTGTCACAGCATGGGAGTAAAGTATGTCAGTATGTCAAGTTCTTTCCTCAGTGCTTGTCTTTGTGATATTTCTGTGGTAGGACGTGAGTTTGGACCTGCTGACTCTGTCATATGGCAGATATAACCCTTTCACTTTTTAAATTGTGTGTCATCAGAGGTCATAACTAAATGTTCCAGTCAAATGCCTTCAAATTCCTCTGTGTTTGTGCATATGGATGTGTGCATTTGCATGCATTTATGTATGCATGTTGGAGGGCACTTCTAGTGTGCTATTCTAACAGAATATCACATGATCCTTCATATAGGTGCACATAGACATCTGAGATCACAAAAATCTAGTTAGAAAGACAAACTAGCTGACTTCATGTATAACCGTAGGAATTCCCGGTGAGACAGGCTATGTATTTCTGAGGCATTATCTTCACAGGTAATCTTATCAAATTCTCTTATTAGCAAAACAACAACCTTGATTCATTAAGTTTCCAATCTCTTATATACTAGCTCATGTTGACTTAATTGGTATGGTATTATAATAAGACCTAGAAAAGGAATTTGGTGGACACAGGCAAGCAATCATCTTGTCATTAGTCAATATTTTTCTTTCTAGAGACAAATTGCAACAGGAAACTAAATTTTCATTATCTAAGTTCAGATGTTGATAGAGTTCAAGTTAGGGTCATTATAGGTTGTTCAAAATGGTTCAGACCTTTATTTAATCCTAGTTTTATACAGTTCTCTCATAATATTAAATGTGTATACATTATGTATATGTATGTGCTTCTATACACATATCTATACACATACCAATTAGATGGTACCTAACAACAACCATATATACATACATACATCTATACATATACACACACCACACCCACACATACACACACCCACACACACACATATATGTGTGTGTGTGGGTGTGTGTGTATTTACATCTATATTTATATTCATATTCATATATTGGTATATATTTATTGTTTCCATATAGTAAAATTTTATCTTTCTATGAAGCCAAAACTAAGATGTTAAGGAAGGTTAAATTAAATTCACCATACTTCATTTAGGAGCTCTGGTAGCATAGTGCCTAAGGCACTTGACTGTTAACCAGCAGGTTGGGGGTTCAAACTCACCAGCCACTCCTTGAAAAGAAGGTTGGGCAATCTACTTCCATAGTGATACTGCCTTGAAAACCCAAGGAGGGGTTGCTATGAGTCGGTTCCGACTCTACAGCACATAACAACATACTTCATTTATCAACTGAAATCATAATTTGCTACACCATAAATTTTTCATTGCATTTTTTACTTCTGCATTTCTTAGTGTGTAGATCAGAGGGTTAAGCAAGGGTGTCCCAATTGTGTAAAACACAGCCACTATTTTGTCCCGTGGAAGTGTTGTTGGTGGGCGTGTATACATGAATATGCATGGACCAAAAAATATAACAACCACAATGAAGTGAGTAGTGCAGGTGGAAAGAGCTTTGTGCCTTCCTTCTGCACTGTGGTTTCTCAGAGAGTATAAAATGACAATATAGGACATAATCAAGATTAAGAAACTCACCATGCTTATGGCTCCACTATTGAACACAACTAGCAAATTTATCACATAAGTGTCCATGCAGGCAAGTTGCATCAAGGGCTGCAAGTCACAGAAATAGTGATCAATTACATTAGGGCCACAGAAGGGCAATTTCATAGCCAGGAAAACTTGTGCTGAAGAATGCATACAAGATCCCACCCAGGCCAGAATGACTAACATTCTACAGACCTGTTGGCTCATGATGGTTGTGTATCGCAGAGGCTTACAAATGGCCACATAGTGATCAAAAGCCATGATGATGAGGACAAAGACCTCCATGCACCCAAAGAAATGGGATGCAAAGAGCTGGGTCATGCACTCATTGTAGGAAATAGTCTTCTTCTGAGACAGAGCATCCACAATCAGTTTGGGGGCCGTAGTTGTAGAAAAGCAGGCATCAGCCAAGGACAGGTAGGACAGGAAGAAGTACATGGGACTCCCAAGGGCCACACTTGTCTTAATAGTCACCACAATGAGAAAGTTCCACAGTAGAGTCAAAAGGTAAAGGATCAAGAAGATTCCAAAGACTACTTTCTGCTTTTCAACATCCTGGGTCAAACCAAGCAGAATGAATTCAGTCACATTCTTAGTCATCACCATATGAGTAGCTGTAGGTAGGATGCCATTAACAAATGTTTGATCTGCAGAAAGAAGTAAAATAAGTGAAAATTTGGGAAGATGGCTGGACTAAATTCTGAACTCCTTTGTTCTATGTCATGTTCTGTTAACTGAAACTGCCTTTAGTGTGCTTCAAAATTCTCCATGAATCTCTGAAAATCTGCAGTGCTCCAATCCTCTCTTAGATTTATGTAGTGATTCAGAAACTGACTATTTGGACCAATATATATATATTTTATTTTAGGAATGAAATAAAACATATATCTTTCACAAATTTTGATAGATAACTGTTGAACTTGTTCTTTATGCAAGTGATTTAACTGCTTTAAAACTTGGGTTTCAAATGAAACTTGGGTGCCAATATCTGCTCTATCATATTCTGGTTATCATAAGAATTTTAGAAAGAGTTTACATTCACACATGTATATGCATATATCGTTCACACATATATATGCAATTCTCTATGTGTTTTGAAATCTGGGAAGAAAAAAAAAATCAATATAATTAAGCATTATTATAGTTGGAGAATTCTCTCAGAAAAGTACTTTCAGTTTTGTTAACTCATTTTTTCCCTATAATCCCTTGCTTTTTAGGATCTGTGTGTAATATGCTTATTAAAGAATCTGTTTTAACAACATATGACTATACCTCTAGTGGTGCCTAAGGCATTTGACTGCTAACCAGAAAGCTGTGGTGCAAACCCACCAGCCACTCTTTGGAAGGAAGGTTGGACAATCTACTTCCTCAGTGATACTGCCTTGGAAACCCAAGGAGAGGTCACTAGGATTTAGGTCTGACTCAGTGGCACATACCAACAACAACAATATTCATGACATAATATGTGTCAGGCTAATGTTTCTTTAGTTATCTAGTGCTGTTACAACAGAAATATTTCAAAGCCAGGAAAACTTGTGCTGGTCACTAACATTCTACAGACACACTGGCTCATGATGGTTGTGTATTGCAGAGGCTTACAAATGGCCACATAGTGATATCACAAAAGGGTGGATTTAACAAATGTGAATTTGTTTCTTCACAGTTTTAGAGGCTTGAGTTCAGCATGCTATTTCTAAGTTCTGTCCACTCAGAAGAAAATCATTGTCTCTGTAAGCTTCTTCTACTCCTGAGAGATCTTCTTGTGCTTAGCATATCTCACCTCATCTAGGTTCCTAGCTTGCTTGTTGAATCTCTTTTATATCTGCAAGTATATATATTATTCCACACTAGAGCTCTGGTGGCATAATGTGTAAGGCAATGGACTGCTAACCAGAAGGCTGGTGGTTCAAACCCACCAGCCACTCCTGGGAAGGAAAATTGGGCAATCTACTTCTATAATAATACCATCTGGGAAGGAATGTGTCTTTTTAACATGACAAAGACAACCAATTCCCAAATGGGATCATAACCACAGGCATAGAGGCTAGGATTTACAACACATTTTGAGGGGATACAATTCAATTGTTAAAAATGTTTTAGTTTGATATATTGGAAGAAAACTACTTTTCATCTTTTCTTGAATTTATCCACTTTCTCAGCTTTATGATAAAATATTGAACTTCTGTACCTATCAATTTGACCTGTATATAATTTTTAATTTTCCTATAATCTAATTTGCTTTTACTTATATATTGGGTATTCTAAAATCTTA